CAAGGAGGAGTCGCTATGAGTCAGGTCTGACTCGACGGCAAATAACAGAGAGCAAACATGATGACACTTAATAAGGATGAAAAGGTGAAGACTCCCTGGTTCAGTGTGGTGTAGTCAATTACTTAATATGACTTCTTCTAGGCAAGGCCTTTCAGACTCCCACCAGATGACTGGTTAGGACTATGCAAATGTGAGGGGCTTGTGGCCCACCAGGGAATTGGACAGCTTATTAATAATGTAAATAAGGTACAAGGCACCCTTGTGGGGGTGAGACAATGCAAATAAGGTATATGGAACCCTAACGTAGGGATTCATCATATTGCCATCTCACTAGATTTAAAATAAACCCACCCCAGAGGTGGAAAGGGGATCTCACTACCATCAAGAGAGAAGAACCAGGAGTGGAGTGCATTGTGCATCTTTGGACCCAAGATCCTTGCACTGAGACAGCACAGAGATGATGGCAACAGAGGCAGAATCAAGAGACCAGCATGAGACAGAGCAGCAGGCTTTCTGACTCACAGAACGAGAAAGCTGAGTGTCTGCAGGTAGGAGACTCGCTGGCAGAGTGGGGTGCCTCTCTGGGCACCTAAATGCAGAGCTAAAAGAGCTTTGTAACACTTGCCTGAGTAGAGCAAAGGCTGAGGCCACAGAGAAGTGTGCCTGTGGCCTAGCTGAGAAAAGTCTGACCTGATCAGTGACTTATATCCTGAATGTTCCTCAACCTGAACTGTAACCTGTTACTCCCCTAACACACCCTATAATGAGTATTGTGTGTTGAGTCCTGTGTAGCCATGCAACGAATTACTGAACCCAGCAGAGTAGTAGTCAGGGCCATGGGAGGGACGGTGTTAGAACTGGTAAAAAGGCTTGAGGGTGGTAGCACGTCTGGCCTCATAGCAGTAACCCCTGGGCTGATGCAGCTGATGGTGATTCTGTCTTCCTCTTGTAAAGTTAAAGGAAGTTGGTTGAAGCCGAAGCTATACCCACACCCACACCCTTATTGCATTAAGTAATTTCACTTGTAGGAACCAGACTAGAGAAATTCTCAGACACTTGCGTAAGGATATATGTTAAAGAATATTTGCTGCAGCACTGTTTGTAGCTGCAAAAAAGTAGAAGTAATCAGCAGTGCCTTATTCATACACTGACATATTATACGCAGTTAATACATCTCCCTGTATCCACATGGATAAACCTCAAAATTACTGTTGCATGAAAAAAAGCAAGCTGTAGAGCAAATGTACAGTGTGATGCCATTTATAAATTTCCCAACCACACAAAACCATAACATGCATTCTTCACGGACATGTATGCACACATAAGTAAAAAGAACCACCACAGCAGCATCAGGACAGTGGCTGTCTTTGAGGGGCAGGTGACTTTAGCAGCACCCACTCATCACTGTGAAAAATTCTGGAGCAAATACGGAAAAAATGTTAAATCTGGGTGATAGGTACTTGATATAAGTAAATCTTTTTAAACATATTTTACATATTCTATGCTTGAAATACAAAAATTTAAGTTTTTAAAAATTTCATGTGCATCATAATGCCTGCGCTGCCTAGTTTATGAGATGTGAGGATTTAGAGAAGTGGCAAGAAGGTTCATGGTAAACCACATGTTTTTCGGACAAAGGCATTATGACTTCCAATCTTATGTAGTTTTTCCTCTATGTTGATATTATCTTGATTACTCATAGTTTTCCATGCATTTGATTCTGAAGGCTTTTGGCTGTTTCTGTAAGTCATTCCAATCTGACACCATGAAAACCTGCTATAGCTAAAAATACTTCACCAAATCTATTATTCTAAGTTTTGAAGACAACAGTAAAGGAGGAATTCTAAAATGTTCTGAGCCCAGTGGCATTAACTGATTGAGTTCATAGTTACTCCAAGTGGTTATGTGAAAGGGAAGGACTCTCCCACAGACTGACAAGGCACAGTCCATCAATGATTGTGATGGTATGTTTACGGCATTTTGCCATTGGTCAGCCGAATTTACAAGGGTATTAACGACATCAGAGTATGGTATTTAAGAGCATGGCTCTGCCATTTGCAGGCTGCTTGGCTTAATGCACATAAAGCCCAGAATACAGCAAAAGTGAAACCATAATAAATGTTATTCCTCCTGCTGCTACTGCACTTACTGTTGTTCTTAATGGCAAGAACTGTGTGCCTTATTTCCTAACTATTTCCTAATAAGACCTTCTACATATGTAGCTCAGGGGTCAGTTAATTTCCTTAAAGAGACTTGTAAGCTTTGCCATACAGTCTCTGTTGCAACTCTTCAACTCAGCCCTTGTAGCCTGAAAGTGGCCATAGACAATATGTAAATGAATGGGCATAGGTGTACCCCAATAAAACTTTATTTATAAAAACAGGTAGTAGGCCAGACCTGGTCTGTGGATCAAACTTTGCTGAATCCTGATCTAACCAACTGTTCATGGTATTTTCATATGCTTGCATGGATTCTGCAATACGTTTTCAGACTAAGAAGATATTTTACATTTGTTAACATTTAGTAACAGGTAATTCCTTTTTTTTCATTCTTTATTCCAGTAAACACAAAAAAAGTGACAGATTCAGAGAGTATATCAAAGGCCATAAGAAAGCTTCATCACATGGGGAGTATACCCGAGACCATGAATAGCATTGGCAGACAATGGTCCTATAAAGTGTATTTGTATGATCTGTAAGGATTCCCAGGTATATAGTAGAGCTGACAAGGGGCAAGAGTGTAATCACTGCTTGGGCACAGCCAGCTATCCAGAGGGACCGAGTAGTTGAACCTGTGGGCTCAAGACCGTAAGTTGCAGGGGACATCAGGCTCAATTGGTATAACATACTACACAAAACACTATTCTACCTTCTACTTTGGCGAGTAGTGACCAGGATATTAAAAGCTTGCAGACAGCCATCTACATGCAATGATGGGTCTCTCCTCATCCAGAGCAAAGAAGAATGAAGAAAAACAAAGATTCACGGAAAGAATTAGTCCTGGTGACTGATACACCATGCAATCCACAGCCTATGTGACTATGAGACCAGAAGAACTAGATGGTGCCTGGCTACCACTGTCAACCACTCAGAGGGGGATCTATGTAGGAGATCCTGGATAGAGAGGGAAAACAATGTGGAAAAAAATCTCAAAATCATTTGGGAAAAAAGGGGTAGGGTGGGTTAACACACCAGGGCTGTCTGCTAGAGCCTGGTGGAACCATGAGACTATGGCCCCTAGCTGCCCTTCAGGTCTGGAATTGAACCCACACCTATAGCTTCCAGCCAAACAAAAGACAGGCATGTGAGTGGAACATTTACCTAAGGTAGATATAATCCTTGGAGAGAAAAATCACAGGAGAAAGAAGGGCTATTTATGCACAGGAAGACAGCTCAGGGAGCAGGAGTGCATGGAGGGATGGACACAGGGAAGAGGTAACTATCGGGAGGAAGTGGGAGGGAAGCTGTTGCACTGTGGTAAACAGTAGTCAGTGTCATGAGACACGATGTATGTGAACTACTGTATGGAAAGTGAATTTGCTCTGTAAATTTTCACCCAAATCACAATAAAAAAAAATAATTAAAAAAAAGAAAAGAAAAGAAAGCTTCATGATACCACAGTTTTGGTACGGGCCTTAGACCTTTATAACTGACCAAAAGCTAGTGGATTTCCCCAAGAAAACTCTAAGACAAGCAAAATCATAGGAAAAAAGAAGCCAAGCTTCCATTGCACTCTTAATTCCACTTTTGCCCTCATTTTCTACATTATTGTCACTGTAGGAAAACAGTAATGAGGAAACAAGAATATACTACTCTTTAAACATGTTTATAACCAATTTATAAAGGGCAAGGTTGTAGTCATTGCTTGGTCACAGCCAACTACCCAGAGGGACCGAGTAGTTGAACCTGTGGGCTCAGGACCATAGTCGCAGAGGACATCAAGCTCAATTGGCATAACATACTATATAAAACACTGTTCCATCTCCTAAAGGGGCAAGTAGCAACTGGGATCTTAAAAGCTTGCAAGCTGCCATCTAGATGCAACAATGGGTCTCTCCTCGTCCAGAGCAAAGAAGAATGAAGAAAACCAAAA